TAGAGGATCCCAGCACCTCTGAGAGGGGTGACAACCCACTTAGGAGCAGGGTCTGGTGTCTGTGGCCAAGCTGCTGTCTCATCTTGCAGGGTGTGGAGGTGAGTGGTGTCCATGGGGATCCTGGCTGGGTGCTTGGTCTGTGCCTTTGGTGGTGTTGGACCCACTTCACCAGGACCATGGTGCTCCTGGGATGGTTCTCAGGAGCCATCCTAGAGAACAGGTTGGGCTTGAGCTCTGCCAGGCCCTGGGAAACATCCTGCCCCAGTGGGGGCTACTCCCCTGGGTCACAGTTTGGGGCTTGCATCCCCTTCTGGCTGGAAACAGGGAGCCCATGGGATGGGTGACAGGGTGTGAAGCTGCGAGCCCCCATAAGGACCTGGCTGTGAGTGTCTGCCTGTGCCGTGCCCTGCCCTTCCGTGGGGATACTCCACGGGGTAAATAAGCACTTCCTCCAATTCTTCCCATTTGCAGCTCCTTCCCTTTCCTGCCCCCTCCCACTCGGCCCAAGGAGCCAGCAGCCTCCCATGGCTGTGGGGGTGGATATCACCACTGTGCATCTACTGCCACGGGGCCGAGAGCACCCATCCAAATCAAACTGCTGAGGGCACCCAGCACCCATCCAACCAAACCACCATCCCCTGCTCCAGCGGGGGCTGTGACCTTATGGCCCGAGTTTCTCTCCTGGGTGAGTCACACGGAGTCAGGATGCGATTCACTGACTCATCTGATGCCCCAAACCCCTCAATCCCCCTCCTCGCCCAGCGTGAGAGTCAGCGAGAGGAGTCCTGCCTGCCTGGAGGAGAGGCAGGTGTGGAGGAGGTATGGGAAGAGGCGACTTCCAGGCTCCGTGTGACCAAGGTGGCATGGCATCGGTCCCAGGATGTTCCCATCCTCTGTGCTGGGGAGGGATGAGGAGTGGTAGGAGGGAAGAGCTGCTCCAGCCCACGCTGGGAGCAGGCCAAGGGCTGTCCCGGGGCCGGAAGGGGCCGTCGGGGGCCGGGGGGACGTGCCTGGGTTAGGGCAGGGGGGCCGGAGCGG